TCACGTTACTGAACATTTCCCTAAAGTGAGCGATAGTAAACATCTCTAAAGAATTGGTTCTGACAGCCAATACATCATAGTTTGACTTTGATATTCATTTACATCCCAACAGACTTCATTTCTGAAATCAGAGCATTGATGACACTAAGGAAGAAGCTAGCATACTGCACAGCTAACTCTTCACAAACAAGTAAATATTTGCCTGTGCGTGATGTGCCAAAGTCATACAACTACCTTCCTCACCCAGTCTAAGCCTCCCACACAACTGTTTACCTCGATCTGATGCTGTTGTTGCATTATTTCCATAAAACAAAGAGGCTAAATTGGTGGAAAGTTGACTGGGAAAATTATGTGAGTCACAAATGGGTTAGCAGCTGCATATTACCCACATTCCGTAGGAGCACAATGAGGCGATCCTGCACAAGACCTAGAAATAAACTCGCGTACCATGTTTCATCCCAGTGTGTATCTACATGGACCCCACGTATACTGTAAATACTCAAAGTGCAGGAAAGTTTTTGATTTCCCATCATGCCGTGGGTGTATGGGTGACATGATGTAACAGATTATACTGTGAGCTTACATCAGAGGAGCCCTAAAGCCCGTGTAAGTGTGCTACTAATGACAACGCAGAGTAACTGTGCAGATGGCTCTGGGCCTCGTAAGCCACACTGCAGATTCAAATCTGTCTCTGAGTGGGTGTGGGTGTGTGAGCGTGTGGGACATTTAAGTGCACACTCACAAATACACACCAAAAAGTCATGTGCACACTTTGAAGCACACAGAGCTAAAAATAGACTTGAAGAAAGCCTCCCACGGTGGGTGTTTTATACATCGTGGAAAGATTGACTCTTACATCCTGCTGTACACAAAACTCTCACACACACCTGCTCACACACAGATATACACACACATGCTTTTGTATATAAATGGCATCTTTTCCTGTTTGGTCAGTGCAAAGGAAGACAGATACAGGGCCCACGCAACAACAACAAACACAAACCACAATGACCTGGGCTGAAATCATTTTCCACCAGTTAAGAATCAGCTCTGCGTGTAGATCACAGCATCTGTGGTGTCACATTCAAATATAAATATCTGGATCTGCACACCTTTAATCATTCTGGTATTTCATACCTTCTACTGCTAATTTTATTTATGTTTATTGATCTGTTTTTATAGTACTTTTGTGATACTCCCAGTGTGGGATCAATAACGTTTATTTTAATCTAATCTAATAATTACTTTGATACACAGAAGAAGTAGAGGCAGTGAAACAGAAAAAAATGCTATTTCTTCTCAAAATCTCTCAGAACTCACTCTTCCTTTTATGTAGTTTAGTCAGCGCTGCTTCCAATACTCTGGTGAGATGACACTTTTCAGATTTGGCAGCAGAACAGTGTGAAGAAGGAAAAGAAGAAGAGAAGAAGCTCTGTAGAAAATCCTGCTGATTGACAATCTTATAGTAAAAGTTTTGCTTTCAACTTGCTTTCACAAAGAAGAACATACTTTCTGTGTTCCCTAACAGGATGCAGCGCCTCGTCGTTGCACAGCTGCTACATATCAGCTTTGTGTGCGAGACCGTAGTTTTAATCTTTCTGAACACAGCCTGTTCGCACCCTTGAATTATGTGGAGGCACCTTGTGTGAGAAAGTGCAATTCACTAATGTCTTTAGTAGGAACAGACTCTGCTGACGAGACAGAAACACACACACACACACACAGAGGCTGGAAACAGATGGCCTGGAGACAGAGGATGAGGCTCCAGATTAAGTTTTCCAGGGGGATTTCAGACGACGACTAAACTGCTCATCATTTATGTGCTGTTTAAAATTGATCATCGGCGTGTACTTGTGTAGAAAGGCCTGTGGTTGCAGCATGTAGTGGTCCTTTTATTTCTCACAGCATGTGTTTGTCAGTCGTCACCCCTGACCTCATGAGTACATGATATAGAAGAAGTTCCTTGAAGCGTCAGGCAGCACTCGTGAGGGAAAGCATGACTTCTGATCTGCTGTTCAACAAGATTATTGACTCATCATCATCACTGTCATCACCATCTCCAGCTGCACTCATGTGATTGAAAGTCAAGGTCACCACTCATGTAATAAGAGTTGACTGAATCAGCTTAATTAATTAAAAGAAAACTATTAAAATAACTACGTAAGGATGACAGGACTGTTTCGCTTCAGCCAAAGGTCGACCTCAACAAATCCCAAAGTGCAGTATATGAACGGAGACATATTAAAATTCTGATCATTGCTTATTATTCTGTCCATGGATTCAAAGGGTAACAAGGCAGCCCCAAAACTAGATAACAGGCAAAACCATTTTAATTTATATTCTACTCAGACTATTTGAATATTTTTAATATGAGTCAGTATCCATCACAAAACAAAGCCTGATTTCAGTCCAGGCTCATTGAACCAAATGTTTCTTTTTACAGTGTTATCTGTGATGAGACAGTGCCACAATCGACACATAGAAAACCTCCTACTGCAAGTATGTTTGAGCCGCAGGCCTTCAGTGTTCGAATAAGAGCTTGTTGTTGCACACAACATTGGACCCTCTCACAGTTCTCAAAGGGACACTTTGTCCTGTGTCCATTTCAATGTGGGGGCTGTTTTTGAAGCCCGTCGGGGTGGGGTGTGGGGGGGCTTTATCTGCTCCTAATACACAGCAAGGACTCAACACTGAACACAGAGTGGGAAAAGATTAAATACAGATTGTATGTATGAAGTCTGGGTGACAGATTTTAATTTAAAACAGTCTTTGTGTCTCTTGTGCTCTTCCTTCCACTCTTCCTCTTTTTGATCTTCTCAAAACCCAAACAAACATCAGAGCTTGAGAGAGATTCCTGAGCAGAAGGACTGATGTGATGGGAAATCCCCAGACCGTGGAGCGGCTCAGGCAGGATTTAGTTCTGCTTTAGCTTTAATTTCTCTTTTTTCTTTTCTATGTAAAGGAGAAATGTTTGATTTACTACATGGGAATCACCTCAGACATTTTTCCCCCAAAGACACAACGTTCTGTAGAAATAACATTGAACCACCATAATAAGACAGAACTGCTGCCAATTAAATCCCCCGCCATTGTTCTATGTCTGTTTTACAGATGCATACATTCATGTTTGTTTACTTATAAACTAAAATGACTTATGGTGATTAAAAAATGTCATATTTTACTATAGGCAGCAATCAAGTAGTTAAAAAAAATCTTAGGTAGGTTTAGATGAAGTCAAATCAGCCACTGGAACAACACTTTTATCATTTACTGACTATAAATTTTCAAAAAATCCCCAGGGCAGGCTGACATTACACATACAGAGATAAAAGAACTGAATCTCATCTAGGAGCAGAGGAATGAGGGAAATACCCGTGACTGATGTGATCGAAAGTAAACTTGAGCTGCAGTGATGAACAGGTTCATGTTTGGTATTTCTAGCTGCCATGTGCCAAGAACTAAGGCAACATGAATACTGCAGTAACAGCCCAGTCAAATGTACAGGAGAAACACCAGTTAGGTTAATCCAATTCTAAGGTCCAAGGTCAGATGTAGTACTACTGTCAGATCATTCAAAAAGTATTATATTTGAACCACTAAGCCCCACAACTTAATTAAAATAGCATTACAAATGTGCCACAACATGAAACAATCTTTTCGTGTTATTCTGAAATTAATTCATTTAAAACATAAAAATAGTTCTTAAATAGTAACTAAACCAGCACAGCAGTGTAGCAAATTCACTCACTTCATGTTTTATAGAACTGGGAACAACAAATTTGAGAATGTTGCAAAGTGAAAGTTTAGTCTCTACAGTAGGTCAAATGTCCAAGATTATTGGGATTTGCGGAAAAATAAAACATTAGCTTATGGATTTGTGCTTAAGAACTAAAAATATGATTTAAAATCATTTTGATTTAATCTCTAATTACCATATGTAGATTTTGTTTATGTATTTATTTGCATGTCGTCTTCTCTTCAGAGACATTGGCCTCCTCTACACCAGCCCTCTGTCGCTCCTCTTCAGCACGTCCATGAATCATTTCAGTCTCTGCATTTGGTTTGACTCTTTCCTCACAACTCCTACAGCACTGACACGGGGGAATTCAAATAGGTAAGGAACTTGATTAGACTGGTCATGATGTTGCAAATCTTTACCAAAGAAATCAAGTCAGTGTGGAGGAGTGACAAAAATGGTTCTTTTAGTCAGCAAAACATCCCACTCGTCAAAGGTGGATCTCCCCGCCTCTACCTCCACTGCCTTTCATAATGTCCTTTAATGTATTTCAATAAAATCACAATGGGGATGTCCCACAGATACTGCCTTGATTAGAACTACCCACGCTGTGTTTTCAGAAACACACTTTGTATGTGTGTGTGTGAGTGTGTGTGTGGGTGTCTAAAGGTGTGAACCCAGAGCTGGACACATTATTATTTTGACTGAGAAAGAAGTTCCTCTAATAAATGTGACGACCTTTATCGACCCCTCTCTCTGCTTTAACTGCAACAATAGACCACAGCAAAAAAGGCTGGTGTTATGAACGTAATGAGCACTGGAAAAACATGTGACAGTCAAAGACACGTTACTGCATATCACCAGGTTGAACTTCAGACTGAAACACAGCCGACTGTAGAAGGCCCGACCAAACACAGAGTTTAACCTGATAAGTCTGGAATTTACCGCAGTAAATGTCCTTTGATGTTGTTTGCTTATTAACATTTATTAGTCTGGCTTGATGAACTGCGTGTCATACTTCATATAAAACTGTATCTGTAAAAGAAGGGTGAACATTGCACTGGGTTTCTATTGCCCTAGACGGCTGTTATCTTGGTTTCACTCTTTATTCTCATCACCATTCATTAAGATTGACAAGGAGCAAGCAGAGTTAATTAGGAGATAAGAAAACCGTAACTTGATAATGAAGTCAAATTATTTTTAAATAAAATAGTCATCAGTCTCTTTGTAAGGGTAGATGTCTTGGACTTGTTCTTGTGCGTCCGACACACCATGATGTTCAGTGCTACCTTTCCTAAAGAGATTCAGGTAGGTTCTAAGAACACCAGTATCAAGATTTAGGGTTGTATGTTAGGGCCAGATTGGAGTGTGATGGTATGAACATTTATAAGAGACATCATATGGTATATTTATATAAATAAAAAGGCTCCTTAATGTCTAAGTGAAATGTTGGTCACATGCTTTTGTTTATAAAAACAAGATAAAAGATTTTTTTACCCACCTGTTCAGCAGCCCTGTTATGAACTGCTGGTTTCTGGACCATTCCTCTAAAATGAAAATGAGCTGGTGAACACTGATTATTGCAATGCACTCAACCCTGCTGTGATGTATTTTCTAAATGGTGGAAAATATCAATAACATCATCAGTGATTGGGCGATATTGATTCAACTGTTGCATTGGTGTATCTAAAGTTGTACAACGCCTAGTATTTTAAGTCCATATACCGGGGCATTTCTGTCAAGTATGAACTGTAGAAGCCTTTTAGGCAAGAAGTAAAAATTATTTAACAAATAGCAAATGTTTATGACTGAAAACTGTATTCTGTGTACAATGCTGTTATTATATCAGTTTCTTTCTTTTTTCTCCTGTAGATTCTTGCCAGGGATTTCCTAGAGGAATACATTTTCCTGGCAGTGGGAAGAGTGGGCTCCACCTCTGAGAACATCACACAAAAAGTGGTGTGGGTGGAAGAAAGTGACAAGAGGTCTTTTCTCTTGGACTTGCTAAGCGCTACAGGTGATAAAACCCTATCTGAGCTGAAGCTTGGATATGCACTTTTTGTTTGTTTTTGTTTTTACACTGTCTTTACCTTGTATTATTTCAATGTCAACACACAACTACCCCTGCATCTCAGCCAACACAACACTATGTTATTTTACATGAACATAAAGCCAGTCAGCATACATTGCATTGTCTTACATCTGGCTGGAAGCATCAATGTGGGCTTGAAATATTTAAATTAAAATCTTTGTGTTTTCTCCTTTCAAATGTGAACATTTTATTATTAATATTATTTAACATCATTTGCATGCACCACTGGCAGCCCTCCTTCATAACTCCACATAACCATATCTGGGAGACAATGCACACACTGTCTTAGACAGTTTTGGATGAAAGTAGGTTGTACCAGTAAATATATAATACTGTAAATATAAAGTACTAATTGAAAATAAATGTAGAATATTTCAGCTCAGGCATAGTTGTTTTGTGAAAGAAAAAGAAACACTGCATTGTTCTCCCTTGACTTAGGTTTGTGTATCACCTCTGACCTCTGAGTCCTGTTGTACTCCTTTTAAAGACGTGTGGTTTTTAAAACAAACCTTGCAGAACAGATTTTGTCAACAGTGTCAAACATGGTTTACCTTAAATATAAAATCACAGCACTGGTTTTCAATGGGTGATTTGTGGTTTGGTGTTGTCTTATCCCAAGTCATTCCCAGCGAGGTACAGGACAATACTGGAGACAGCATTGAAAAAACTGGTAAGATCCTTGATCAACGGTCCTATGGTTTTCATTCCATTTTTTTAATTACATTTTGCCTGCCTTCTTTTTTTTTTAGCACAAAGTTAAAGATGGTGCCAAAAGGTATGAAGGTATGCGTTTTGTCACTCCCAACAAACTGTGAAGGCTGTGTTTTGTCCGTCAGTGTTGACATGAGGAAAAATGTGGTTATTGTACTTTCTGTTGGTATATTCTGTAAATAGTTATGAGTGACCTGTTTTGGCAGAGTACCTGGTGGTTAGGTTTTTCCAGGTAGATGGGTGGAGCTACTAATTGGATGTGCACCTGGAAGGCTGGGCCCAGGTTATTTAACTGACTCCTCCTTCTCATTCTCTCTCTCTCCGACCATTTCTCAGAGCACCTGCTTCCTGTTTGGTTTGTGATATTTGGTTAGAAAATAAATATTTTTGTTTTAAGTTACTTAAAAGTGTGTGGTCTCCCATTTTTGTCTTGCTCTCTGAGCCAGGGCTATGACATCAGTATGGTCAGTCACCACAGCCTCGCAGGGAAAAATGTAAAAAAGAATTACTCAAAAAGGGGATGTGTTATGAATAAATGTAAATTCTAGTCATCTAAATCTAGTCATTTAGTCATCTAAGTGTGGAAAGACTTAATGAAGGCCTCATTACTACATCAGTAAAATCAGTAAAATTATTATTTCTCATAATTGTTTTTGTTACCAAGTGTCAGTGGTTTTCCTCCTTGATAAGATCTTCCTCAGAGGTCCATGATCTTAACATCTTCTAGGTTTGTTGGCCACAAACAAGGTGTTGTGTTTTCAAAATAAGGACTGTGGAGGTTAGAAACTGCTTCTGATTAATCGACATTTTTCTCCTACCACAGTGTGAATAATCTAAGGCAGTCAGCCAGTCTTTTATTGCTTGACATAATTGGCTGAGTTCCTCAAAATTAACATCTGTAAGCAAAAATAGAGAGTCCCAGTCGCTGTGGAGGCTTCAACAGGTCTAAGAAAATTAGACAACAACCAGAGGAGTGTCTATAAAACAAACAAACATTCCATGGAATGACGCCAAATTATGTTGTTGTAGCCTCAATGTTAATTACTCCTTAATTGTTCTCATAAGTGTTGTGAGAAGGAAGTTTCCTGATAAATTTGGTATTTTTTTTAGTATATCGTATGTGTCCCTACAAGTATACAGTTGACAAAAAAAATAAAAATAAAAATAATACAAAAACCCAGCCCTTCATGTTTCATCCAAGCTAAGATTAGCCTGGACTTTGTGCAGCCTCGTTGAGGGGGGTGACCTCAGTTGACAGGCAGAGACTGCCACAGACTGCCACAGACTTTTGGACTAGACCTAACATTAGGTCTAATTTATAGCTCCACGTTTTGTGTTTGTGTGTGTGTGTGTGTGTGTCTTTGTGTACATCTGTGTGTACAGGTCGTCATTAATAAATCCTCCTCTGTCAGCTTGCTATGGTTGAAGTCACTGCTTTGGAATTTACTGCTGCTGACAGTCTAATGCCAGGCTGATAATAATCACATGTCACATGTGCATAAATCACATGTCTTATTACCTGCACACTACATGTGTTAAAGAGCTAAGCTGTATGTTTTTACCTTGGGACCAAGCATAGGGTAAGAGTCTAGGTGAATATGCAGAATATAAAACTGAAACTTAAACATTACATCAGAGGCAAAAGGCAGAGGTGAGATTATTATTGTTTTTTACGGTATATTGGGGATCAAAACAGAATCCACTGAAGACTCGCCAAGAATGCGTCCTGTCTCACCACTTTATAATGAACATAATGTCCGGGAACTATCTGTCGGTTTAAAAATAGCATAGTAATTGAAGCCCTTCATTTTAAAGGCATTATCTGCAGTTAATTATGTCATTCCGTGATTCAGATCAAATGTTCTGAGTTCAAGTGCGGGAACTGCTGCTGAATGTGTACCTGAGGCAAATACTGTATGAAGTGTTGGGGGCAACACTACACAGAAAATCCATATAAATACATTACTAAATCACACAGCTGGAACTTTATCTACTCATTTCACTAATTCATTTAAAATATAGTAATTTTGGTGAGTACACATATTAATACATTAAAATATGTGTATAGATATAAAAGCAATGTAAAGAATTACAGTGCAACAGATGTCAATACATATAATAGTTTACAGCCATTTATTTCATAATGTTGTGTGTAATACTTTGAGCTTCGAATTTTTAAGGTTAAGAAAAGTAATTGTAACTACTATACTGCTAATAGTTTAAAGAATATTTTTGTCTGTAATAAATCAATAAGTAAATAACACAAAGTCCAGCAGATTATATAAGCAGGATGAAAACACACATGTATATACTTGCCCACCCCCCACCCCCAGCTTTAGTTTTTTCCCCTGTATTTTAGGTCCACATATGGTTTCACAAGAATTCCTTGAAAGTCACGAACCCTAAATTTAGTCACGCTGCAAATGTCATGTCATTCTCAGCTATTTTCTTCAGACACAGTCTGTCACCCTGCAGCCCCCGTGTCACTTTGGAAAAATCTGTGCTGTCACCATTCAGGGCAAGTGGACATTTACTGCCACCTATAAGCACCAATACACACACACACACACACGCAGAGACAAAGAAACAGGGCATTAGTACGACACAGGATGTGTTGCTATGGCAACATGACAACCCGTAATCACAGCGAGCGTGTGTTGGTGAGTCACTCATCATTAATACATGTTCTCGGTCTCTCTGAAGGCTGGTTGCTTCAGTAAATGCTTGAACTGCATGTGTACTGATTCGTATTTGAAATCCTTATAACATCATTTATACACATTTATACTGTGTTTTCCTCATTCAGCTTACACGCTGGTGTGTGTGTGTGTGTGTGTGTGTTTGTGATTGTTATTGTGTGTATGAGAAGTGTCCCTAATGTATTTTCCAGTAACCACCTGCCTCTCCCCCACTGAGCCTCACTGTTGTTTCTTCTTCTCCCTGACTCTGTGATGTGTTCACCAGAAACTGGGCTCTGGTTATTTCTTTCCTGAGAATCTCCCCCTCCCCTCCCGCCCTTTTGCAAAGTTGCATGTATTTCCAGGTGCAGAGCTAAAAACAGGGAGGTGGAAAATCCTCTCTGTTGTGCAACAAAAAAGGTAGGAAAAGGACACAGCCATCAGTTAGGGTCAAATAAAAAAACCACCATCAGTACGATATGAAGCATGTCATTAAACCAACTCTTAGGACATTGATTGCAGACTACATAGGTGTGAAAAACAGAAACAGTATTTATTTAATGAGAGGGAAAAACAAAATAAATACGTTACATTTTCTGACAATAGTATATAAGGCCACCTTTAATTCTGCATATGCCCGGCCTTAACCCTTCTTATCATTTATTTCCTCTGCCTGTGAACTGGGCTCAGATCCAAGAAAGATTGGTCAATTATTAACTTCATTAATTATTAACTATTTACATTTTCATTGATTTAAATACATGGGTTTAATTACCGTTAAATGCTGTGCTGTAATTGTCTTTTTTTTCTCCTTTGAACCTGTTTGATTACACATTATTAACCCGGTGCTGTATTCTTGCACCCCTCCATT